TCTGCCTCAAGTTTCCCGCACTTGATGAGGATCATGAGATTTCTACTGGATTTGGAGACTTATCACAACCTTTGAAACTTCCAGGTTACCAATCTTCTTGTTCTTGTTTAATTTCTTTTTTTTCTTTTGCCTCTTTGATTCTTGAGAACTTTAGTTCTGTGAACTGGTTGGGTAAATGAAAAATGTAAAATAAATGTTAAAGAGCTAATAATTACTTCATTAGGTTGCGTACCATTAAATGGCAAGGATCTGTTCGACACAGTTCAAGAAAGATCAAGTGAATCCTACAAAACAGTTCTTTATATATGTAAGCGATTGCATTTAGTAGATGGTATGATGGTGAATAGCTTCCTAGATCTGGAACGAGGGGCAATAACATCACTACAAGAAAATAATCATAAATACCCCTCCCATTTATCCAGTGGGGCACATTTGGAAGACCGAGTCAACTACCATAAACGAGTCAACCTCAAAGTGTTTAAAATGGTTAGACAATCAGCAGAAGAACTCTATTTTGTATATCTCTTTAGGGAGTGGAGGAACACTAACACATGACCAGCTTCACGAGCTAGCCTTTGGGTCAGAAATGAGTGGCCATAAGTTCTTGTGGGTTGTGAGCGCTCCAAGCGGGTCTACTAGTTCGGCTTATTTAAATTCACAAAATGAGAACCCTCTCGACCACGTACCAAAAGGGTTTATTGAAAGAACCAAAGGCCAAGGCTTTGTGGTCCCATCATGGGCCCCACAAATCGAAATTTTGAGACACTACTCTATCGGTGGGTTTTTGACTCGTTGTGGTTAGAACTCCTTATAACATCCTGAATTTTCTGAATCAGGATGAGTAGAAAAGAGAAAATTTATTAAGATTATTTAATAGCCCAATTACAATTGGGGAAAATTATAAAATATTTATTTGCAAGGTCTAGAAATATTTTGAAAAATTTCATTTCCCAAAAAGTGGCTTAAATAATTTTAAAGCTATTTTCATAGCAAAATGGGTTATTTCTTAGAAAATTCTAAGAAAAATATTTAGAGTTTTCTAATTAACTAGGAAATTTTAGGAAAATTATTTTATGAGGTAAAGAAGTTATTTGAGGCATAAAATCCTTAAAATGGGTTAATGATTAATTTTTGGAATTAAGAGTTATTTTCTTAGAAAATTCAAGGAAAATAGTTATGAGTTAATTTTTGACCCAAACTTTTTAGGGAAATTATTTTAAGGGTCACAAAAGCTAATGGATAAGGAAAATCCATATAAAACATGGTGGAGTAATTTCTGTGTTTATTCTCTTGGTTCAGAAAAATATAGAAAGGATCAAAGTGAAGATAAGGTTTATTGTGAAGGGCAAAATGGTCAAGACAATCAGCCACATGCACACCCACGTGTTGCTCCCCATCCTTGTAACCATCAGAATTCATTTTCTTTCCCATTTCATTACTGCCCGAGTCTTGAAACAGAGAGAGAAGGAGGGCGAGGCAAGAAGAGCATGGCGGGGCTGGAGGAGCGATCGGAGGTGTTTGAGTTACATGCAAGCCGATTAATCAAGCAAGGTGAGTCTCCTAATCACTCTTCCATTGTTGTTTTCTGCATTTGGTGGCTGAATATGAAGTTGATGATGGGTTTGCCTTCGGGTTTAGAGAGAGAAAGTGGAGAGTTGGGGTATCAAGTTGCAGAAATTGTATACTAGGACTAGAATGGAGTGTGTAGTTGTGATTTTAAGGTCTTCATGTCCCTCTCTACACCTCTGTCATGTGACTCCGAAACTGCGGCTGAGTTTTTGAAGCTACGGATGTTGGGTTCTAAAGTTCTAGGAAGAAAGAGATTTGATGTTGATATATATGCATGTAAATGAGGCTGCTTTAGTTTGCATGGTGTTTTTTTGGTCTGCATGTGCTGATTTCTACTGCCTGTTGATCTTTGCTTCGGGTTTTTGGCTATCCGAATCTGGGTTGTCAAAGAATTTTAAGGATAGGAAGGAAAATGGTTGGAAGTTGTTAGAAGCTTGAATATAGTTGTCATGGGATTGCATGTCATGTTTTCTGCACGTTAAATATTAAGTTCGTCTGTTTTTCAAGGCTGAAACAGGTAATAAAAGCATTGGAAATGGCTTTGTATTTCATTGGTGTCGGTGTCGGGCTCTATGGAATTTGAAGAGCAAAAGGTGAGGTGTTAATAGATTAATGGCCATCAGGTTATATATTTATAATTTGCAAATTTTAGTAGTTTATTTGTGGCGCTTTTGAAGCGAGAATTTTGGGGGTTATATAAGTGAATATATATGAATTTGATTGTTGTGTGTGCTGACCGTGGAAGTTGGGGATGGAGAATGTTGAATCTGAAATTGTTTTTCACGAGGAGGTTAGGCTGTGGGGTTTAATGGAAGGAGTGATTAAAACATAATTGATATATTTATATATGTTTGTTACGCGTGTTTGTGTGTTGACTGGAGATACATAGACATAGAAATCTGGAAGCTCTAGATTGAGAACATAATTATATTGAGCGTTTTTGGGAGTTAAATGATAGCTAGGAATTTAGGTGTTAATAAAGTTATTGAGAATGTTACTGAGGCTATGGGAAGCTTAGAGATTAAATGATTGAATTTAGTATTTATTGCGATATCCAGTTACTAAGTAAAGTAATATTATGTGTTCAGATAAGGAAGGAGGTGTTCCAAAGAGAATAGTTTGAATAAGAAAAATTGTCCAGGATGACCAACTATTATGTAAGGGTAGAGATTAAAGAAGATTTGGGATTTAAAGAGAGTTATTTAATTTATGAATTATAGTTGGATCAAATATTGATCTACCCTTACGAATATGATAGGTTTTGATATCTGCTCAAACTCACAAAGGAAACAAAAGAAGAAGAAATTTGTAAGGTTTGGTTTGGAGGGAAGCTAACCAGGTAGTAGTTCTTTCCTACTTTACACTTGTGTATGATTGCTGCATGCCTGTTTGTGCCATATTGCTGTTTAAAGCATAAGAACATGTAATCCTTATTTCCTTGCATAGATTATTTAGCCGTGATCACTTGTAGCTGATAGACATGGGGCAGTATATGCCAATTATTTGCGCATTATTTATTCAGCTTGTCTATCAGTCATTGCGCATAAATACTTAACTGCATTAGCTTGCAAGGTTATATTCCACTTTGGCTTGTTTTGCATGCTTTGTGTAATCTACACATTTGTTTGATGGAAATTACTACTACCGGAATTCTTTAGAATCTCACCCTCCCATTCATGATGAACAGCAAAGGCTAGTAGCTCGAAGGATAAGAAGGATGTTTAAGAAGAAGGTGAGCTGGTTGAAGAGCATAGATGCTTGCTATATTATGTACTTATGAAGTAGAATATTTTGATAAGTTAATATTTGTACTATTGTATATGTTATATGGGCAAGTAACTCTACTTGCTTTATGTAAATGTTATTTTGTATACTTTATAAGGAGGCAAGCACTGCCTGGTGTAGGTATGTGCTATCAACCAAGATGGTTGCTATATTTTTAATATAATATTATAAGATTGTACAGTATGAAATCATTCTATGTGATAATAGATTAAGTTAAAAGTAGGGTTGATTGTGGATCACTCGTCAGTTATTCTAAATGTTTGAAATATTTGATTGACAGATTCCAATATTGAAGGGGAAAAAAATTTTCTTGTCTTTTCCCAGGTCAAAAACCTGGTGTTAATTATTCACAGACGTTAAAATGATCCTTATTAGTATATAGAAAGTTAGGTGTTACACTCCACATTAGAGAGCGTGCTCTATGGAAAGCCAATGATTGTTTGGCCATTATTTGCAGAGCAGAGAATGAATGCAGTGTTGCTAACTGAGAAGTTTAAGGTTGCCATGTGGCCGAAAGTTGATGAGAATAAGAATGGGATTATAATGAAAGAGGAAGTTGCAAGGGTTGTGAAGTTGATAATGGAAGATGATCAGGAAGGCAATGAAATTCGTAGAAGAGTTCAAGTGTTTCAGGACGCTGCTGCTAAAGCACTTGGTGAAGGTGGTTCATCTGCTCGAACAATCTCTAAGTTAGCTCATGAGTTGAAATATATGGGTGACATGTAGAAAACTAATGACTTTTCACTAATGTCACCCAAAATTTATATGCTTGCTATTGTGGTTTTTCCAAAAAAAGGGGTATTTACTCCATTAGATATTGAACAATTTCATGTTTTTGATAGATGATAATAAAGTTAGGAAAGAGTTGTTTGGGTAAATTAAACAATTTATAAGGCTTCAGAAGACAAATCAAGACTAGATCATTGGTCACTCAAAACAGCAGAGGAGGAGATGGCTATATTTAACCATTCATTTTTCTCCTTCTTCAACCATTAACTCTCCCCTTCACACGGGGACCCGTTAGATTTAATATTTTCCTATTTTTATTTTTTAAAATAATTATTTTTATGGGTATAGAATCTAAAATAAAAATAATCTCTTAACCATCACTTTATTAAAAAATAATTTTATTTATTCAGACATAATTAATTAAAAAATATCATATGGACTCTTCAAATTTAAACGGTCCTGCATGAGAGGATAAGCTTTGGATGCTCATCCTGAAGATGAGCACTCTAAATCAGTTCCTTTCACACCTATCTCCTATTCTCATGCGGTAATAATAGATCCTACGTAATTAGTTAATGTGCTGTCATCATGGTGAATTTTCCTATATTCAAACAAAATCTAGGCTTGTTATAATACCAGATCCCATGACTAATATTAACATTCAGTTCGTTTTGCTATTTTATATGAGGCTAACAAATTATCCGTTCCCTCAAAACAAATTCCCAAAACTTCCAAAATGCGTTATTATTATCTATCACAAATACGACGTTTACCAATTCAACTCTCTTTATCTATTTTTGGCTTCCTTTGCCAAAAATATTCATACCCCTCTCTCTATATATACTTATGATACTCCATTCATCAATTCCACTGGTGATTGATTAATTAAAAAGCTCCCATACTCGAAGCAGAAAGATATGGAAAATTCAATAAAGCTGATGTTGTTTCTGTCTTTCTGCTTCGTTTCAAACCAAGCTTTGCTTGCAAATGCCTCTGTGCCAGCATTGTATGTGTTTGGTGATTCCCATCTTGATTCTGGAAACAACATGCATTTGAACACACCAGCAAAGCCTAATAGGTGGCCTTATGCAATTGATTTTCATAATATAAGGGGTCGTTTCACCAATGGAAGAAATATGGCTGACTTTATCGGTATGTTTCTTGATTAATTTGTGGTTTAAATACTTTTTCTTAGTTATAATTTGCCTCAACTTTGAATCAGATCCATTTAGTTTATTTTGTTTAAACCGGGCCTTCAATAGTTTGATCCGTTATGGGCATCCATCTTTGAGTTTGAAAACCGTTGATTGAGATAGACTATACGACCTGCGGATTAATTGTTTCCTTAGTTAATTATTAACATGTTTTGAACTATTGTAAACAACTCAAATTAAATTCTCTCTATCTTTTGGTTATGATCATGCATTTTTTTAAAAGAGAGGGCTATAATAATGAAAAGATAATCATGTGCCGAGCTCTTACATCTTATGTCTTCGAATGAATTGAATAAGCCACTAGCTAGGTTCTAATGTTGTCAAGAGAATTGAACCATGAGTATTTTCATAATAGCCAGTATTTGTTTGTAATTGTTGCAAATTTCCTCGTAGTATTAATACAAACATATATATAGTTGAAACATTGGCCTAAATATAATAATTATTTCAATGTTTTTAACCTTTAATTGCATATATTATCCAAATATAGAACACTTATCATGTTTGTATTTATCCATACAGCATCTTACTTGGACTTACCATTTCCTCCTGCATACTTAAACCTCTCGGATTCTGAAAGAAGTCAGACTACAACAGGAATATCTTATGCATCTGCATCATGCGGGATCTTAAACACAACTGGAGCGGTAAGAAATTAAATTGAAATGACTATTCTTATTTCATTACCAATTTTAATATTATATATCTATATAGTAAAGAACAGTCTCCTTATATTTATTAGATCAAGTTCATAAGTAAATTTATAAGTGCACATGTGCATTCAAACAACTAATCATAGTAAAATAACAAGTGTGATTGGGAAACTTGATCTAACAAATATGAGTAACTTGATCTAATTTTTGTCGTATATTAAATGTCCTTTAATAATGAATTTTTTTTCCCATGTTGAAGGGAGAATGCTTAACATTAGCAAAACAAGTAGGATGCTTCACATCAACTGTGAAAAATGATCTTCCACAAGCAATAAAGGATCAAGAGAAGTTGCAAGATCACTTGGCCAATTCCCTATACCTTGTCTTTATTGGGAATAACGATTACCACGATGCTATGAGTCACAACGTCAGCAACAAATTCAGTCCAGACAAGTATGCAGATATCCTTCTTGATGAAGTCACAAAACATATCAAGGTAAACTAATTATAAGTTATCTTGATTTTTGCTTTATGTAAAATAGAGTTTATTAAACTTTAATAACTTTTGTATTATTATGCAAACAGCAAAAGTGCACTTTAGTTCTTTAAATTTATACAAAGTTTAGTTTTAATTTATCCTCTTAATTTTAAAAATGTATTTTCAGTCCTCTAATTCTAACATTGTTAGTTCCCAGTGATATGTCAGCATTGAACTTAATATACCAGCATAATCTAATAATGCTTTTGTTAATATTTAAACTTTCAATGTCTGCATTTTTTGTTAACATTGTTAGGGTTAAAGGACTTAAAAGACACTTTATGCATAAAATTAAGGGATCAAAATAAAAGCTTATTATGTGAAGTTTAAGGATTAAAGGTGCGTTTTGCCTTATGCAAACATTGATGTTGTATACCTGCATCGTTAGATTCCAAGTTATTGTTTATAAACAACATGACTCAAATTTCATTTGAATGTCTATTCACAGACACTTTACGATCTGGGAGCAAGAAAATTTGTAGTTTCGGGCATTTCACGTTGCCAGCCTCATAATTATACAAAAGACTGCAAATCAAGATACTTCGCAGACAAACTTCCTCAAAGGTTGCAAGAGTTACGTGTACACTCTCCGGTTCACTATTTACAGTATACGATGTCGTCAATGTGTACAAAAAGATCACTGATAATCCACAAAAATATGGTAAGCATAGTTATTTTATTTAAGGCTTGCTATCATTTTTAATCTCTAAAATTTGATCTCCTTTCAGTTTTAGTCCCTAAAACTTGAAACCAGTGGTTTTGGTGCTTGAAACCAGAAGCCGAAAATCAGCAGGCAGATCAAAATGAAGTCAAATTTCAAGGACTAAAACTATTGGTTTTATGTTTTATGAACTGAAATCAAAATGAGATCAAATTTGAGTAACTAAAAATTATGTTAACCCTTTATTTAATTAGACCGTTATTTAGATGCTGAACTCCTTTTACAATATAAAATACTCTTCTTTGAATTGTTTCACAGGGTTCACAAACATTCAGGATCCTTGTTACCCGGAAGGTCGATCTCTCTGTAAAGATAGGAAAAAGTATCTCAGATTTGATCAATATAGCCATGAAACTGAAGCCGCATATGAGATTGCTTCAAAGGATTGCTTCTATGGACAAGCTTGTTCTCCTTACAGTATTTTGGAGCTAGCCAAGGCACCAATCATCAGTCACCATTAATAAATTGAGATTGTAACAATGTCATTCAACATTATTGAAAGTGTTCTTTTCGATTTTTCAGCTGGTTTGAAATGTGAATGCAATTTTCTGAACTTTCTGAATTTTTCAAATTATGCTTATATTATAAGTTAAGAGTTCATGAAATTCATGGAGAAGCATTACGTAACGAAAAGTAGCATTATACATTAGATAATATATATAACATGATACGTTCTATTAAAAAGAGTTCTGACTAAATCAATTATAATAATTGAAAGTTTTAGTGGTCCCCTATCAACCAGAGAGTTGAATTTTACACGAATACAACTTATGAAGTCATGAAAAGATATCAAATTAGTTTGTCTAGTTTGGTAAAAAAAATTGGCTCATAATCTATAAGGTTGTGAGGTTAAATTCCTATACTAATGTGAAAATCTTGTTGATGGATTATTTGTAAGTATATATCAAAAGCTCTATTTAAGTCTTGAGGCATATCTTAATCCTGGGAGCTCTCAGGAACTAATTCACCTTTTTTTTTTGTTTTTACTAAACACATATATCCTTCTATTAAAGATTAATTTATTTGAGATGCTATATATCTAGAAGGAAAAAAAAATACATCAAGTTAATTGGATCAATTGAATAGTGTTATCATAAGTATTCATATGGTACCCAATGAAACAGCTTAATGTTAATGCGGGCTTGGATTGTGAAGATGGTACTAATGGACCGTATTTACTTTGGACTTAGAATGGAGGGATAAGGCCGAAGTAAAGATATGAACACATAAATGTCTAACAATTCTGTGACTACCCCACGTTTGTGTTTCCCGTTCTTAATTCTTTAGCTTTAATTTGGAGTTAATTTTGTAAGATAATTACACATGGCATGGACATCATTTTTATTAAAATTTATTAAAATTGATCAATTTTTTTAAAAAATCATACAATAAGTTTTTTAGCTTTTGGAAATTAAATTTATTTTAATTAGAAGAATCTAATTTAATTTCATAGTTAACTTTTTTATCTTGATCATATGATACGTGGTTTGAATGGACGTTTCTGTCTTTTATTTTATATACAAATTACACGGGTAATTAAAAGGAGTTAGTAAATAAAAAGTGGAATATGTCACTTATTCGAGAACACCGAACCACTTTCCCTTGGTAATTTTGTTTCATTACTTGTTTGCAAGAAATGGTTTGACTTCTGTTGCTTTGGAAATTTCTGTGACAATTGATATGTAAGATGTGGGACTGAGTTTTCTTGGCAAATGAATAACTCAAAACATTAAAAAGTATGCTGCTTCATGCAACCTCCAACGCTTTTATTACCATTAGATCGGATCAAAATATAATTTATTTCATTCATTCATAAGATTCAAATAATTAACTAGGCACAAGTATAATTCTGTTTGGGACACTGTCAGGCATTAAATGTAGGTATTTTTTTTTTAATGGAGATTTGAAATGTAGGTATTTTTTTTAGCAGAGATTTGAACCTTGTTTCATCATATTGTGAGAAACTAACTATTTCCACTAAACCCAACCTCATTGGTAAATAATTAGCCTTTAATCAAACATTCAAACATTTAACTTGTTACTTATATGTATGGAGATTCAAACATTTAGATTGCAACTATTTTTCCATGATAGTGAAATAAGGAAAATAGCAAGGACATTAATTAACAATTAAAATAACCCTTCAAATTTATAAGTTGTTGGGTACGAAGGTAAATTGCAAAAGCAAAGCCTATAATAAAAGGATAATAATGTATCAATACTAAAAAAAGGAAAATTTGAGGATAAATCCCCATTTAACAAATTAATTGGGGTATGTGATCTGAAATGCATGAAGCCTTGAGGTCCTTGAGAGACAATAATTTTGAGGGGGCCTAAGGAGCAAATTAACATTAGGGAAGGTGAGTTGCACATTTGGGAAGATCAGTTGCATATTAAGAATTTGCACATTAGGAAATGTGAGTTGCATATTACAGAAAGTCACTTGCATATCAGAAAGGTGAGTTGCATATGAGAAAGGTCACTTGAATATCGGGAGGGTTCTTACCTATTGGGGAAGGTCACTTGCATATTAGGAATTTTCACATTCGGGATGCTGAGTTGCCTGTATGAGAAGGTCACTTGCATATTGGAATTTGCACATTAGGAAAGGTGAGTTGCATATTTACAAAGGTCATTTGCATATTATATTTGGGAAGGTTATGTTGCATATCTAGGAAGGTCACTTACATAATGGGGATTTGCAGAATAGTAAAGATGAGGTGCATATGTGGGAAGGTCATCAACAAACTCCCAACATGCAAGTGACTTTTCCAAATATGCAACATACCTTCCCTAATGTAATTTGATCCTTTCCTCTTTTCAAACTTATTGTCACTAAAGATCTCCCAATTAATTTGTCAAATGGGAATTTATCTCTAATTTTCCCCCCAAAAAAAGTCATATTGATTGTCTTGTGTCAAGTCGACTTTTGAGAAAAATATAAAGTATAAAAAATGTAAAATTCTACTTTATTATATTGTAACTATAAGTTTTAGATGTTAAAAGTTATTCGGTATATAACATTCAAGAAAGGAAAAATAAAAAGACGAATAAAGAAACAATGTAACAAGCACATGCACTTATATACGGAAATTCCATACAGGACTTGTCCATACATGTGTAGATTTGAAAGTAGTGACCAGTGATTATTTAATAATGGCTAATTATGAAATACTATTTAATTATATTTAAGGGTCAATACCATCTTCAATCCCTAAACTTTGAATTTGTTTTGGCTTTGAGAACAGTAGTTTTAGTCCTTAAAATTTGACTATTTTGGTCCCCAAAACAAGGTTTAAATGACCAAAACCATTAGTTTGTTTCGAAATTCACATACATGTCAAATTTTAATGACTAACGACAATATTCGCTCTATATATATTCAATTATGATTGATGATTGGCCTAAACCTCTTGCACCACATGGGTTTGTCATTCATGATGAACTTAGCTTCATTCTGATTCCCCAACACTGCCACTGGAATGTACGAATACATGAATATGACTTTGGCATACTTTGGTCGATTCTCATCAACATTTCGCGGATGAAACACCCTCTCAATGCATGGACCAAACCTGCTGAAGATTGATTGCCACAAAATGCAACAAACACAAATAATTAATAGAATTCATCATATTTGTTTTAATTACTTTCTAATCAATATATATGGTGAAAATTCGGGGCCACTGCCAATCATAGCATATCAAACTTCTCGTGGACAAGAAATTCCCACAAAGTCATTGTGCAAAATTTTTTCAAAACAGACTACTACGGAAAAAATATAGTTGTGGCGTGCTTATTTCTTGAAGGTTGTAGCGTTTCAAAAACGCTATATACTTTTCTTTGCTACGAAAAAAGATGTAGCGCTTTATAATATGGAGGTTGGAAATGGGAGGGGAATTAACTTTTGTAGGGACAGGCATTTGGAATACATGAACTGCTCTGTGAATGAAATGGGGAGCTTAAATAATGGAGATCGGAATTTTGCGAGCTTTAGACTCTAATTTCTGAGGAAAGAAGAGAGCTCAGCATTAAAAGCGGTTCTCCCACCAAATGAGAAGAATGGAAAGGATCAAGTTAATTAAATGGGGATGTGATATGGAAGAAGATATGCAGATGGAAGGGTCCTAGAAGGATACAAGAACTCATGAGGCTTGCAGAACACGACAGACTACTTGACAGATGAAAGAAGTCATTTGTTGGGGGATCTGGTTTGGGTGCTCAATCCTGAGGTGAGATCTGGACTGTTCCATCCAAGAATAATTTTAACGGTTCAGATTTAAAATTTTCAACTGATGACAATAAAATCTATTTTTTTTTAAAAAAAACCAACAGTTAAGTGATTGTTTT